ATAACTAGAAAATACTCTTGATTCATAATGAGAAAAAATTCTTTAAGTTTCAAAGCACTAATATTTGTAGAATTTTTTGCCAATATTTTTAATAATGTAGTAGTTTTTTCGATATAATGTTCTAATATTGGACCTATAAATAAATCTTGAAGTCGTGAGAAAAATAGTTCATTTCGTCCCAATGGGCAGAAGATCTCGGAATAAATTCCATTTCCATCATCAGAAGTATATAAATCTAATTTGTGCAAATCCGAGATGGAACTTTGGTTGGGATGCAGCATTAGTCTTACAACTTGGATATACACACAAAAAGGTAATATTTCATATATTTATACATATTTTTATTTTATAAACCTTTAACAAATTTAATTTTATAGATTTCAAAACTCACAAAAAAAAGAAATGAAGTCGATAGAAACAATTCATTTTACGAATGTCTCAATATACACCAAGTCAGTTAGTTTTTTTTCGACGTAACTGCTTATGACAAAAGAATATTATCTTAGGATATATACAATAGTAATTATGGCTTTGTCATGGGAATTTTATAAATTTCTAATCTTTCTTTGTTGATATGCAGTAAATCATTTCTAATAAAGTTAAGCATCTTATTGTTTTGATTGTTCTAATTGTTCTGATCATGCCCCAAAATCTTTTTTATCACATTCAGGTTGTATTTATAAGATTCAATAAGTTAAATTGACCTTCGATTCTATAATTTGATGTTTGCGTCGGATAACTCAAAAGTATTTGCCATGGGCGATAAAGATTCAAAGATCTTTAATTGTTAGATCTACTGTGAGCTTTGATTGTGTTGATCATAATTTTTAATGCATTTTTGATACATATTAATTAAGTCTTGATTTTTTTGGAACCTTGACTTTAGTTGAATTTTTAGTTGAATTTTTAGTCCAATTGATGAATTCTTGATCGTATCTAACTTTTTTAATATTAGCATCTATTTGTGTAATATATTTACTATAAAAGTTAATTTGGTATCCAGAGCCTTTTTATATTTCTTGTCAAGTTTTATTGGTTGACAAGAACAATCTTTTTTATAAACTTTTATACAAATTAAACATATTAAACATATTGAGCAAGCATTCAAACGAAATTTTAATAATCTTTACATTATAATAATAAATTTATTTGTAGAACAGGTATTGTATTTATTTATTATAGTAATTTTTGAAATTGTAACAACAATGTAATTTAGTTTATGACGTAGATTTTATATCAATATTACAGTAAATAAAAATTCAAAAATATATTTTTTATATACCGATCATGCCGAAAAAATTACTAGCCAAAAACTTTTTTAGCTAATTTTTTTATAGGTGTTCCAGAAATAATGAAAACAGCTGTAATACTCCGGAACAAACCTTTTGAGACCATGCCCAGCCTATGTGACAATCAATATTGAACTTGAACAAGTTTATGAACATTTGAACTGAACCCAGACTGAATTTGAACCTGGTTTAAAAGTTCAATATTGAACTCAGACTGAACTGTATTTTAAAAATAAGTCTGGTTCAGGTCTGGTTCAATTTTAAACTGAACTTGAACTCAACCCAAAGTTTGGTCCGGTTCGGGTTCATAGGAACACTAGGCATGCATTTGTGGAGGTAAAAAAAACGTGACTTCATTTATGCAGATTAAAGTATATTTACAGATCGAATACGTATCACTTAAAAAAAAAATTTATTATACCTGCCTTTTATTGAAACTGAGTTTTAAGCAGAAACAAGTGAAACAAGCAAAGCGAAGCAAAAAATAAAAGCAAGTAAAGAAAAAAAATAAAAATAAAATACTTATAACTTATTGTTAATTATTTTTCTTAATCTAGAAATTATCTCAATATATCCTTTTGTATTATTTTCTTGCTGCAAAAAATATCAAGAGAGTATATTAATTGCATTTAAGGCTTCTTTTTTTGTAATTATTCATTCTTCTTTTTCAGAACTATCAGGATCAGTATCTTCAGCAAGTGTTAAAAGGTCCACAGTCCCTTGGTCCATAGGCAGTTTATTAACTGTATTTTCATCAAAGTATCTATCAACTTCTGTATTAACCTGAGTATATAAATTTGTATTTAATTCATTTGTAGTTAAAAAATTTCTTCATTGTCATTAACTTCTATTCATTTATTATTATTAACTTCTATATTTACAGAAAGAATTTTTGTATAATGAAAACAATTATTAATTATTGTTGAAAAAATGTTGTTCCATGCATTAATTGTAAAGTTGATTGCTATAAGTATATTAAAATTATCAAATTCAAAATTGTGTTCTTTAGTTTCATACTGATTTATAATCCATTTGACAAATTGAAATTTATAATATTATTATTCCTGCATCTAATGGTTGGATTCTACTTGTTGCTCTTGAAAGAGTTTAGTATTTTCAAGAGTTACATTGTCAAGTTTATAACTCATTGCTCCATCTATTAGAAGAACAACATTATATCTATTCATTTTTTGGTCAAATTCTTGTATCCATTTGCTAAATATTATTTCAGTCATCCAATCTTTTTTATTAGCCTCATATATTAATATAAATTATTCCAATTAATTTTTTTGAAACATCATGGATTTTGGTATTTTCAAATCAAAAGTGGTTCATGTTTATCACTACTATTAGCATTTATACAAAATGCAATACTTAAATAATCTTTGTTTCTTTTTTTCTTTAAATTTATTGTAACTAATATTGAATCAGGTTCAAGACAATAAAATAACACTGTTTCATCCATATTATAGATGTCTTGAATATTATATTGAGATAATAAATTTTGTAATTTAGGAATTGAAGCATCAGCAGCACTATAATCAGCTAAAGCATCCTCTCTATGTTGCTTAATTTTTGAAATATTATATCATTTCTTAAATTTATACAACCATCCTAATGAGAAGTTTAATTGTTCAACAGATAAGTTTAGAAGTTGTGTAAAGCATTTAGCTTTTTCTATCAAAATTGCATTAGTAATTGTTACATAAGCTTGATATTGATAAACCATTTATGCAAAGCATGATCAAATTTTAAATATCGAACAAATTTTATTCTTTTTGTTGATAGGCTTTTTTTAAGATCATCATCTTTTTGTTTTAATGAACATCCAACAACAGTAGTATGATGAATATCAATATTATATTTATTTTTTATTCATTTGACAATATCATCGTGGCTTTTATTAGAATTTTCAGTTTTATAGTTGATTATTTCCAATCTTTGCTTATTTGTGAGTGTAACTTTGTTTTTTTTTTGAGTATTTTTTACAGGTATAAGTAGTTAAATGTAGCAATTTAAAAAATAATTTATTTATTTTTTTTATTTATTACATCATAAATCAATATATTAGACTTAATTTATTATAAGAAACTATTCCCGTAGATCACTTTACCAAATTAGAAACAAGAAGAAAAAATTTTCCCACATATTAAGTAAATTGATATCTAGCTCTTAAGTAAAGTTATCCAGCACCCCGTAAACTACTTAAAGGAGGTGTAAAGTTTGTCAAGAGACCTCACCATAATGCAACAAAGCAGTTTTTCGATTCTTCTGCGAAAGCGGTCTTAAGGACCCCCAATATTCATATAATCAAAAAGATAATACAAATAGTGCTTTAAGCAAAAATAAT